GTCACAGTCATGGTCAAGTCAAAAGCTTGACAAATGTAAATACATTTTGTCAAGCTCTTTGCCAACCAGCTCAGGGGTCATGACCCCCTGGATCCGCCGTTGTTAGTAGTATATCTTCGATACCGAATATCGTATTTACTATACTAATATTATTTTGTACATTATTATTGATAAAGAAAATATCTTATATCGAATAAGCTGTGATTTGAGATTCATTATTCGACTAGTATTAGTAAATCACAAATAATAATTAAAAAATTGTGTTTGCAACATCTCCGGGAGGTACCCCGAAGGTTTTGAAACCCTAGAATTACTAGAGAAAAAATCTTATAATATAATGAGAAAGGTTATGATGTTAATATTGGCACAAATTCAACGCTTGTATGGATTTTATTTCACATGTGACTTGATAAAACCTCTATTTCGTAGGGATTATGTTTTATTGTCCTTAGTAGTCAGAAGGGCCTATACGCATTATGCGGGTAACCAGAACGATGTTAACTGGCATTTGACCAAAAACACTAGTTGTAACACTCGGTTACATCTTGTTTTTTAAGGGTTTTTATAAGATTTTTTCAGATTGCTGTTAGTTATGCTGTAAATCGTATGTTTTCTCCATCTGACCGCATCATGCGTACGCGGCCTAAGGTCTGTTCCTCTTGAATAGTTCCGTAACAGAGCTTTCTTTAATTCTCTTCGTATTATTTGCATTTCGGTGGTGCTTTATAGAAGCGACGGTGTTTCTTTTCGTTAGGTGGCGCGCGAGTTGTCGCAGTCGATGTTTTCCTCACCTAGAGCATTATTTACTGTAAATTCACTATTTTAAAAAACTACTTGGACCCCTTAAAAAAACCAGTACCTCCCGGATAATGCTCGAAAATTGTAATATTACTAAATACTGTAAATATGCTATAAATTGACCATAAATATATAAGTTTGTAATATGTTGATATAAAAAAAACATTTTCGAAGTTCGGACGTTTAAGGGCCTGTCCCACCAAATTCTAAATTGACAGATAACAATCCAACGTGTAAAATATGTGTATCAGAATTTGTTACCTTATGACAGTGACGTCATTAGCTTTCTGAAACTCTATCAGCCAGTGGTGGGACAGGCCTTTGGAATAACTTTTCCAATGTCTATCGTAAGTATAAAATAATAACACCCACGTATAAACTACTGACAGTTAGAGGGATATTTCCTGATGTATTTGGAGAAACTTTTCGATGAATAATATCATTTCTTACCTGTTCTAGGCGTTTTCTTTCACACCTGAAATTGAAAAAAGATATATATATTAGAACTTTTTATAAAAAATTGATTTCAACTTAAATAATAGTATATGTTCACAATGGTAGAGCCCGCTTTAACATCTTCGCACTGCAGGGTCGGCTCGCCCCCAGTAATACCACGACCACACAGAAGACAGTCGTCAAGTGGAAGCAATTGCGCGTTTCGTCTGATGAGTGTGGTGCCGGAGACCTAATTTAAGTCCCTTTCCCTTTCCCTTTCCAACCTTTTCTTAAGAGGAAAGGATAGGAAGGAAAAGTGGATTTGACGGTGGAGGAGACGCATAGGAAGGGGAAATGTACTAGGTAAATTAAGGAAAGGCAGCGCATCTGCAATTCCGGATGTCTAAGAGCAGCGGTCGCTTTCCATTTTGGCAGATTTAGGCGGCCGCTTGCTTGTTTGCCACCTTATTGTAAAAAAAAAAATTATCCCCCAAGTTTAATAGCGTAAAAACATATAGCGTGTCGTAAGTGTAGGGCCTTTTATTACAGAAAGAATTATTCAAAAATATGCTGACATTTTACGCCACAAAGTAGTGTGTTTACGCTTGTATGTAATAGATATGTAATGTATGTAATAGATGTTCGTGGAGCACGATAAATCGTGGTAGCTTATAAATAAATGATTTCCCATGGAGCATATTTAAATAGTGGACTTCCACTAGCGGAACAATATTACAAGAGAAACAATTACTACAACAAAGGTCTACAATGGGCTACCGTTTGTCAACTTTTACTATACAATGTTACTTTACGTAGAATCATATGTAAATTATGCATTCAATATTGTATGCACGTTACTGCATAACACATAAATAATCGCACGTTACTAGAACAAGCTTTTTATATATTCACTAGCTGTTGACCATGACTATGTCCATGCAATATTAAGAAAAAACCCTATAATATGCCCGTGTATGTCAACTACCCGTCAGTGAAAGTCTTGGCAAAATAAGTCCAAACGCGGCTTGCGAACAGACAGACAACAAAAATGTTTAAAAGTCGATTTTCGTTTTCAGCAACGCATATACGTCATATTCCCGAAATCTGGAGTTTTCTTTTGATTATTCAACACACAAACACTTCAATTTTATTATATGTATGTAAAGATTAGAAACTTATTTTACAATATGTACAATTGGGGAAATTGGTGGTGTTCTAGAAGTGTGTATAAGAATGAACCCTTATTGTTAATATTGTATTGTTACTTGAACATAGTAACCCATAACTACCTTTTAATTATAATGTGAATGTATGTTTAATGGGATTATTCCCAACCGTCACCCCGCTCTGACTTCAAGTGGAGACAAATGAAAACAAAAAGCTTCATCTGTCCAGTCTTTTGCGGCGAGACGGTTGGAACTTATTTTATTTCACAACGGTTCTATCTGTCACCTTATTGATGATGGTGGTCCTAAAAGGTGGGACGGATGAAACATTTCCTTCTCACGTGGGGACAGAGCGGTGTGACGGTTGGGAACAATCCGTATAATAGCACCAAGCTGTGTCAACGCAATTATATCAAAATGTAATTTGGTCATAAAGGGAGTGATGACTGAGATGACGTATGATAGAGTTATGTGGAGGACAAAAACCTGTTGCGCCGACCCTACGGGAGTAGGATAAGGAGATGATGATGATGATGATGCTGAAAAAAGAAGTCATACTTATCAACGAGGGCGGGCTGCAGCAGCGTGCGGTGCAGTGCTCTCATTTGTGTGAGCGGCACGCGGTGCCCGGAGATGCGGGCGTGCGCTTCGCAAGGCGAGTATAGCGGAGTCAGAGCAAAGCCTGGCTCATCCCGCGCCACCATACGAGGGGTGGATCGCAACGCACATATACCTGTACCATACGGTACTTTGTAACACCTTATATGCTAGATTAAAAAAGCCTATCATCAACAGCTTGTCTTTGTCCCTAGGAAGGGTCAGAACAGTATGCTCTTCCATAAACCGCTGTCATATATAATTCACAGCCTTCGTAAAAATTTGGGAAAAATCTATAGACCTTATCTTTTGTATCCCTCCAATTCTTGTCTATTCCATTCTCATTTCTATTACAAGTAGGATATAGACCTAAACTGCTGAACGGATCTCGATGAAATATGACAGAACTAGAATAGTCTGGTAGAACACATAGGTTGCTATGTTTTTTAATTCCTCGCGAACGGAGTCACGGGCAAAAGCTAGTTGAGCCATTAAAATACCTAGCGAGAATTTAAACTCTTTTATTTCAGTATATTTTCTTACTATATAAATTTTAATAAATATCGGTAACAAAGGTGACCACTCTTTATAATGACTTATTAAAGGTTTATCAAAAACAATAGTATATAAAGGGGAGGGGGGGGGGCTTGATTATTGGTAATCGGTTCACACTCACCAGTGATGAAGATATCTTCTAGATGGAAGTATGTGGTGGTGAGCACGGAGGCGTACAGAACGCGCGCGGTATCCGCCGACAGCGCGTAGCCCGAGCCCGACAGGTAGCGCGGGTAGACACGCCCCGGGTACATGTACCGCGGACTGTACCTGTTCATAATGTCACTACCCTATATCTTTACCCTAGCTTACCTAGCCGTAAGCCACACGATAAGGTAATCGGAGTTTTATATTAATAACGGTTTCCCAATATTGGCAAATCCTTCAGGTCAAACTGGATGTACAATCAGGGAATCTCGCGGTGTACCATACTACAGTCATTTCAACGGGATATACACAGTGCACTTTGACAGTGGTAGTGCCCGCTTTAATATCTGAGCACTGCAGGGCCGGCACGACCACACAGAAGACAGGCGTCAAATGGAAGCAATTCCGTGTACAGTCTGATGAGTGTGGTGCCGGAGGCCTAATTTTGGTCCTTTTCTCTTTATCACGCTTTTCTTATAAGGAGATGATGGGAAGAGGAAGTGGATTTGATGGTGTAGGAGATGCATAGGAAGGGGAAATATCCTCTTTATGTGCGACTCCTCCTCTGTCGGATAAGGGTAGGCAACGCATCTGCAATTGTGGATGTCTATGGGCAGCGGTCGCTTCGCCATTTTGGCGGATACACCTATTTATTAAGTCGAGTTTATTTCATTATAAGATACAAGGCATCTGAAAACGGGACACCGCGGATTTCCCTGATATTACTTTTTTAATAGATTCATTAAAAAAATGTTAATCTACTAAAAGATTGGGTGAGTTTGTTGGTGTAGTGGTCACTTACCACTTGCTATTGATATCCTGTACCGGTCTAGCGCCGCATATAAGTCCGCCTATTAGCATGTACTCCTTGCTGTTCTTTTGGGCGCTTTCGTCAAACTTCTTAGCACGGGATCGCAGATGCGAGACCAGATTGGGCATATTTATATACGTATCGTCATCCGCCTTCATTATGTAACGGACTGGAACCAGTTTTATTCAGTTTGATTACTTCTAAATGTACAAAACGTATACGATGTGATTTCTACCACTACGAACCAACGCTGGTATCTATTTTGGGATGAACTTTGTGAATTTAACAGGAATAAACTTAACCAACAAAACAAATGTACTGTACAAATTCTTCTACTTTCTATTTTTATTCTGAACACTATGAATTATAATTGTTTTAAATATTTCATAGAACAAGAGCCTCATTTAATTAATCCTTGGACCTTGGTTCTTGGATATCTCAAATTTATTTCGACATCTTATTTAGCTTTAGAAACTACTAGCTGTTTCCGTGCGACTTCATCCGCATGAAATTATGAAAATTTTAGTTAATTGTTCTATTTTATTGTCAAATTATCAATTACAAATGTCAAAATTATATGACATGATGTCAACCTTGCTTCCTTGATGTTGGCACCAACTTATGGTCACTCTCCCACATTAGGGTTTTTATCCAAAAATATTTACCCCTAAGTTTAATGACGTTAAAATATATAGCCTAAAGTGTGATGTAAGTGTAGGGCTTTTTATTAAAAAGGTATTCAAAAATATGCTGTGATTGCTGACATCTTAGGCAACAAAGAAGTGTGTGTTTACGCTTTATTATAATAGTACAGATTACTTACCACTATCATTGCAATTGTGATTAAACCACTTTAACATCATAATAGACTTTAAAGTTAAATTATTATAAGAATCGATAAAACCCTCTTGAATTACATCCCCGTATTTAGCAACTTCTGCATCAATCTTCTCTTGTACTTCTGTATTATTATCACTCTGCGGTAATCCTAATAGAAAAACTAATTTAAAATCAGGGTCACTAATACTATCGTTTTCCAACTCTGGATTATATTTAGGAAACGTCTTTATATGTTTCAATAAAGACATAATTCTTCCTAAATCAGGAGATTCTTCGTAACCTCTCGGTGGTATTTCCATTATATTCTTCTCGTAATCATCATAAACATAATTATCTTCTTGATCACCTAAAACTCTATTCATATCGAATTCTGGCAACATTTTATCGTCATCTTCTTCGAAACGTTTCTCATCAACAATTTCTGTTGCTTTAGCAATATTACTTTGCACAGCTTTAACTAATTCCGGTAACAATTGTCCAAAACCGGATATATCTCTTTGTGTTCTATCTAAATTAGTACTTATATTACCATCTGTTGCATCTACCTCTAGACTTGAATTGTAATTTTTGTACTTTTCTTTTACCGCATATGATATTTTAGATAAAGTTAGATAACTCTTGTAATTCCCCCATGTTTCTCTTATAACGACTCTTTTATGGAAGTTGGATGTTGCAGAACATACGAATATTAAAAGTAATAGTTTCTTCTTTTCTTTACTATTTTTATTACAGACATCCTTTGGTTCGTGTATCGTTGTAACATTGTTTGGTTGTACATATATTTTTGTATCTCTATTTGTGTTTATTGTCCAACCAGCTACTGCGGCTGTAAAGTAAAATCTTAGGTAGAGCGTTGACCACCAGAAACTATCGCACAACTGTTTAGTTTAGCTTATTGGAGGTACAATACTCAGTTTTTAGTTGTGCAACTAAATAGTTGAATTGGCGAAACAATCGACAATCACCAGTTGTGTGATAGTTTAAATAAAGGTGTGGACCCGCCCTTGTATTTCTTTAAAAGGAAACATTAACAAGAACAATATAGATCGCATTCTGTAGAAGGTATTGGAGAAGACAGTCGAACATTGGCAGATCTGATAATGAGAATACATTTTTATTTTAAAAATCACTTTTAATTTACTAGCATTTTTTAATAATTTGTCAGATACTGGGAATCGAATTCACGACCACTAGATTGATAAACCTTACCGCAAACTATTGTTGCTGCCTCATAAAAGTTGTTAGTTTTACATATCTCGTTACCGCGATAATAAAGTCAAAGTTTAAAATTCACCGGTCAAATGACCTTTGGACATCAATTCATTTATGATTATTGTTCAGTTGTTAATTTAATTTTTACATTCATGTTATGTTCATTGTACAATTGACGCAAATCACAAATAAATTTACATATTTGATAAACGATTTTTTACATCAGTAAAATATGGAAATTACAAAAAAAGAAATGCCACCTAAAAGTTCCTATCGTAAGAAGCATGCAGCATACGAACGGAATACACATGAGAGTAACTATCATACCTAGTACTACTAATGGACTAGATGGCTAGTAATCTAGCACGTGTATTCCCGCCCTAATTTGTGACTTACGTTTCAGCACCTGGTCATTGGCCCTATGGTATACAGGTATGTACAGCAGCACACAGAAGAGTATCATCGCTGTACTGAAGAGGAAGAATTTCGCCAGCACACTGAACGTGGACCTCCTCTCCCGTTCCTCCGTCTTGCCCTCGCGTATGTATGACGATAACCGACGATATTTCTCATTCCTGTACACAAGTGGTATATTTAACAATAATTTTAATAATTGCTAACATTTGGAGAAAGCCCTCTTTGGTGTTACTAGTCTAAATTTCTTCAACTTATGATCTGTGTGAACTTATAATTTCTACAATCTTCATGCAGCCCCGGTTGTCCATAGATGTAGACTGTGCCGGCGTTAGGGCGAAGTTGGGCGACCGCCCAGGGTGCTGGACAGATAGAGGGCGCCAAAATCATAGAACACAGTATCTGATACTGTGTTCATAGGTCATATGTATGCCGTAGTCTACTCAAAGCATGGTAATATGATAACGTAGAAATCGCCCAGGGCGTCAGTACACTACCAGGCGGTCCTGGGCGACTCTGGGAATCAACTAAATTTAACTGAACGTGTATAAAAAGTACTCGTATAGGAATTGTTATTAATATCATAAGGTCAAGGTCACGATCATGACCCCGCGATATGCGAATCAATTACAATAAACCATTCATTACGGACACACGTTTGTTATATTTTATACTAGCTTTCGCCCGCGACTCCATCCGCGTGGATTTAAAAAAAAGGTGAGTGTCTATGTGTTCTTCCAGGCTATCCTCTACATCTATACCAAATTTCATCGAAATCCGTGCAGCAGTTTAGGCTACAAACTCTAACAAACATCCATCTAAACTTTCGCATTTATAATATTAGTATGATTAGTATGATAGCCTCTTGTATTGATATTTAGAAAGAGTAAAGATGCCGAAGCGAACACAATTTCAGTAGATAACTAGATTTGGTTTCAGCTTAACAATTAGCTTTACAACACGAAATAAAAACAGCAAGTGTCTCCATTTCAGGAGACGGGTATCAAGAGAACCAAATCTTACTAATATTATAAATACGAAAAGATGGATGGATAGATAGATGGATGGATGGATGTTTGTTAGATTTTGAAGCCTAAACGGTTGAACGGATTTCGATGAAATTTGGCATAGACGTAGAAGATAGTCTGGAAGAACACATAGGCTAC